CTGCGATTGCTGGCAACGCGAACGAATGAAAACCTTCGTCAGGTCTGTGACCGGCTTAAGACATTTTAATTGAATTGGTGAGATTAAGAAGAGCACAAAAGTTAAAATATTGACAAAATATTTAATAAAATTAGTTTTATAGTTCTCTATGCATTTTTGTGAGAATATTTTAACTATTTTATAAAATTTATTAATCATATTCTGTAAAATGAATTATATCTTCTCACAAAAATGTATTTGGAACTTTAAAATTGGTTTTAGAAAATGACATGTCAAAATCAAATTTTTGGACTTTTTGTTCTTTATCTCACCGATTCAATTAATTTAATATAAAGTTTAAACGTGACTGCCGTTCGACTTGCAAAACGTATGACAGTTTAAATTACAATTTCAGTGAAAATTATAATTTAAAGATGATTAGTACCAAATTGAATTTGTTTGTTTCCAATTTGACTTTGTTTATTCCCATTTTGAACGTGTTAGTTACCAATTGAAAGTTGATTAATCCCAATTTAAAATTGTTACATTCCAAATTGAAATTGATTAGTTCCAATTTGAAGTTGAAAAGGTATTGTTGTGTTACGTCCTGTAATTTTACCAGGAAATTAGACTGGTCATTCATTTTTTATATTTCTTCAAAATACACAGCCCGATTTACTTGATGATTTGCCTCTACTGGTAAGACAAAATATTTGGTTTCAACTAGACGGTGCTCCTCCGCATTTTGCTAGAAATGTGAGAAACTATTTACATCAAATCTTTCCTAATCAATGGATTGGTTGGGGTAAATATGCTCCTATTAAATTTCCACCCTGTTCCCCAGACCTTACCCCGTTATCGAAAAACAAGCTTGTTTGTTGTGTTTAACTGCCATTATTACCCGACCTGCCTCAAAATAGCATATTAAGGATGATACATACTCTTGACTCCCACTATTTAAATTCTTCGGCATTTTAAATATAGGAAAAACTAAAAAACGATAACAAACAAAAACGGCAATGCAAACTTAAACGATATAAAATAACACAAAAACAAACAAAATAAACGAAATTCAAAATCACAACTGACAGCTTCGAAATTCTAAAACGTCAATTTCTTTTTCTATGCGTCATTTTATTATGCAAATTTTTAATGTAAACATGACAACATTGCAATTGCTGCCAACTAAAGTTGTTTAAAAGCACTAAAATATTCAATTAGAGACTTCGTTTTATACATTTAGTATTGGTACCAGTGCGCAAAATTATGACGTCATCGATGAAGCGTACGTCGTTTTCTTTTAAATTTACTATATGTGGGAAGCCCCTAGAAACGTTCCTTCGCGTGTCGAGCAAAACTGCGAGCGGCTGCGATTGCTGGCAACGCGAACGAATGAAAACGTTCGTCAGGTCTGTGACCGGCTTAAGACATTTTAATTGAATCGGTGAGATTAAGAAGAGTACAAAAGTTAAAATAATGACAAAATGTTTAATAAAATTAGTTTTATAGTTCTCTATGCATTTTTGTGAGAATATTTTAACTATTTTATAAAATTTATTAATCATATTCTGTAAAATGATTTATATCTTCTCACAAAAATGTATTTGGAACTTTAAAATTGGTTTTAGAAAATGACTTGTCAAAATTATATTTTTGGACTTTGGTAGATACTGTTCTTAATCTCACCGATTCAATTAATTTAATATAAAGTTTAAACGTGACTGCCGTTCGACTTGCAAAACGTATGACAGTTTAAATTACAATTTCAGTGATTATTTTTTTTGACAGTTCTCTGTATTGTTGGGACATTGTTGAGGCATTGTTGTTGAGGGAACCTACAGCGAATTACAGCGATAATTTTTTGAAAATTTTCTCTGGTAGTTGCTATATATAAAAAACAAATTAAATCTTAATTAAATGTTGTTTTATTCATTATGAAATTCTTATTTGTTAACTGTACATTTCGTCTCATGGTGCAATTCTATTGGCCGACATTTGGGACGGAAAAATAATCCCCCGAATACCACACGAGCTTCAAAATTATCTGGCATTTCCCTCAAGGTTCCCTGCAAACAAATAAAGTCGTCAAGTTTTTCAGGAAAAATCACTCGCGCTTCGCGCTCGTGATTTTTTAACCTGAAAAACTTGACTCCTTCATTTGTTTGAAACGAACCTATCGGGAAAAATACCCGATAATTTTGAAGCTCTTGTGGTATTATAAGTGAAAATTCCACACCTGTAATTTTTAACCAATCAAAACGTGTATTTTTGATAGATCACCATGGCAACGGTTGAATTTTAGTGGAAATTTTTTCCTCGTGGGTACCCAACAGCGAATTATACTGGAAATTTTTTGACGTTTATAATGACAGAATATTTGTTTGACAATCTGGTTTTTATTTGTTTACATGATAATTTTGATACATTTCCATTACAAAGTTTAGATGTTTTCTATATTCGTTGGACACCTCCTTTCTTCTTAATGGCGAAAATGCAGGACTTGAAATAAATTAAATGTCTATGTCTAATGAAATATATATAATATTTAGACACTATTCTATTCACCTTTTTTCCATTTAGCACTTTGAGTTTTGAATAGTTAAGATGCAAATATTCGTGAACAATTCAAAACAAATTTTCTTTCTTCAAGTAGGAGCCACAATCCTCTAATAATGCGGGTAAATAAGTCATTGCACGATGATTGATCATTACAGCAGACAATTTCACATTTTTTTACGTCGTGCCGCTTGACAGCTTCAAAACTGAAATAACTTTTAGGTTGGGGTTGACTTAGTTGCCATGGTAACTAAATAATCAAGTCAAGGTCAAGTTAAATCAAAAAATAAATTTTAATTATTTAAACACAATTTGGTGTGGAATTTTCTTACCGAATACCACACGAGGTCAAATTAAATCCGGAAATTTTTTCTCCCTCATGAATATTTTTAGAAAATTATCCCTCGTCTTCGACTCGGGATAATTTTCAAAATATTCATGAGCTCGAAAAAAATTCCGGAAATAATTTGACCTCTAGTGGTATTACTAGTGAAAATTCCACACCTGTAATTTTTAACCAATCAAAACGTGTATTTTTGATAGATCACCATGGCAACGGTTGAATTTTAGTGAAAATTTTTTCCTCGTGGGTACCCAACAGCGAATTATACTGGAAATTTTTTGACGTTTAGAATGACAGAATATTTTTTTGACAATCTGGTTTTTATTTGTTTACATGATAATTTTGATACATTTCCATTACAAAGTTTAGATGTTTTCTATATTCGTTGGACACCTCCTTTCTTCTTAATGGCGAAAATGCAGGACTTGAAATAAATTACATGTCTATGTCTAATGAAATATATATATAATATTTAGACACTATTCTATTCACCTTTTTTCCATTTAGCACTTTGAGTTTTGAATAGTTAAGATGCAAATATTCGTGAACAATTCAAAACAAATTTTCTTTCTTCAAGTAGGAGCCACAATCCTCTAATAATGCGAGTAAATAAGTCATTGCACGATGATTGATCATTACAGCAGACAATTTCACATTTTTTTACGTCGTGCCCCTTGAGAGCTTCAAAACTGAAATAACTTTTAGGTTGGGGTTGACTTAGTTGCCATGGTAACTAAATAATCAAGTCGAGGTCAAGTTAAATCAAAAAATAAATTTTAATTATTTAAACACAATTTGGTGTGGAATTTTCTTACCGAATACCACACGAGGTCAAATTAAATCCGGAAATTTTTTCTCCCTCATGAATATTTTTAGAAAATTATCCCTCGTCTTCGACTCGGGATAATTTTCAAAATATTCATGAGCTCGAAAAATTTCCGGAAATAATTTGACCTCTAGTGGTATTACTAGTGAAAATTCCACACCTGTAATTTTTAACCAATCAAAACGTGTATTTTTGATAGATCACCATGGCAACGGTTGAATTTTAGTGGAAATTTTTTCCTCGTGGGTACCCAACAGTGTTACCAGATTCTGTCAAAAAAGGACCGTACGTTTCGTTCGAATTTACCTTAATTACAAAATAACACAATGAAACAATGCAAATAAATGCAATTATGTCAAGTTGACGTTATTTAATATTGTCCATTGAGTCATTTTTGTAATTAAGGTAAATTCGAACGAAACGTACGGTCTTTTTTTGACAGAATCTGGTAACACTGGTACCCAACAGCGAATTATACTGGAAATTTTTTGACGTTTATAATGACAGAATATTTGTTTGACAATCTGGTTTTTATTTGTTTACATGATAATTTTGATACATTTCCATTACAAAGTTTAGATGTTTTCTATATTCGTTGGACACCTCCTTTCTTCTTAATGGCGAAAATGCAGGACTTGAAATAAATTAAATGTCTATGTCTAATGAAATATATATAATATTTAGACACTATTCTATTCACCTTTTTTTCCATTTAGCACTTTGAGTTTTGAATAGTTAAGATGCAAATATTCGTGAACAATTCAAAACAAATTTTCTTTCTTCAAGTAGGAGCCACAATCCTCTAATAATGCGGGTAAATAAGTCATTGCACGATGATTGATCATTCCAGCAGACAATTTCACATTTTTTTACGTCGTGCCGCTTGACAGCTTCAAAACTGAAATAACTTTTATGTTGGGGTTGACTTAGTTGCCATGGTAACTAAATAATCAAGTCAAGGTCAAGTTAAATCAAAAAATAAATTTTAATTATTTAAACACAATTTGGTGTGGAATTTTCTTACCGAATACCACACGAGGTCAAATTAAATCTGGAAATTTTTTGACCTCTAGTGGTATTACTAGTGAAAATATGTTTGTTTCCAATTTGACTTTGTTTATTCCCATTTTTAACTTTTTATTTACCAATTAAAAGGTTTGGATAAAGCAAAAAAATAATAATTTATTAATTTTACAACAAACACTTAGAAAGAAGTAGCTACTGTTAATCATCGTAAGGCTTTATTTGTATTCTTGTAAAAGTAATCCCTAACCTTATATTTACCTCTTGTTTCAGCAGCTTGGGCGACTGCTCGTTCGGCGATCTAGTGGCCAAACCGGTCCAACTGTTTATGTTCTGCGCTGTGTACGGACCGAGCGCCGTCGTGCTCCTCGTCTGCTATGGCTACATCTACCTGGTGGCGCGCGGACACGCACGAGCCATCCGCAGCGAGACGAGGCAGTCGAACTCGTACTCGCCCGCAGGCGTGAGGAGGTCGTCTTCGTCTCAGCCGCCCAGGTACGGGCTGGCCCTGGCCATCACCGCTGGGATGTTTATTGGGCTCTGGATGCCCTTTCAAGTAAGTATTTTGGTGTTTGTGAAAGAGAAAAAGGCCCTATTAGAGGCTGACAAAAGTGATAATAATATTATAACGCTAAAGAAAAGATACACAACTGTAGGGTGATTTTAGTTGACAGATTTTTGTTGATCAACTAATATCAACGAAAAATGTTATGACAAGATATAATTTATTCTTTTCGGTCGAGTAAAGTTGATATCACAAAAGATCATTTTATTTAAACCTTATCGGTTAAGTAATGAGTCACAATTGTTTTTTAAACGAGTTACATAGTTACGCGTAGTTGAAGCGTGCCCACATTCTTTTACGAGGGTTCCTGTAACTCCATACTTACTTTAGTATTAGTAATCTAAAACTTTCAGTTCTTATACGTATCCCGGATCCGAATTTTCACCCCGGCTTGTAAATCTCTCTTAGGAGGTCGTGGATGACGTGTTTGATGGTTAAAGCCCCTCCCGGAATTTCGTCGCCAGATTTAGACTAGTGTAGTACATTTTGGTTTTTGGGGGACAATGGACTAACCAAAAACTAAGTACAATTTGCAATGCCCCTAATCCAAGGATTTAGTACTACCCTCATTCAATTGGGGTTCATGAATGGGGTTTGGGTGGTTCTTTCGCTGCTTGGACCTATCCTTGATGGTCTTAAACTAATATCTGTTCGTTTGCATTCCTACCTGCTAAATATTACTGTGCTGAAAGTTCTGGCAATGCAGTCCGCAATTGTTTGCCCCACTGTGCGAAACCATTTCTTCAGTCTAGGGTCGAGAACCAATTTATAGATAGGTTCCGTTAGTCGGCAATGTGACTAACAATAATTATACATAGTTTTTTTTTGTTTATAGCGAATTACCTTCTCGAGAAAATGCAAGATTACTTTCTTAGTAGATTAAAGCTAAACTAATTTTTTGTTGCTACTGTCCGCTCTTTGGTTCCTTCGGAAGACTGGGAAATTAAGTTTACCTGTACAGGTAGTGTAACTGATTTCTTACATCGGGACACAGGTACCTTAATTTACCTGAACAAGTAGTAGCCCTGGGATGTAAATTTACACTGTATACACTTAAAATTGTCTAACAAACTTAACTATACTGTGACCGATTTATTATAATAATAAATAAATAACAATAGTAATAATGTTTACTGATAGGCTTTTATTGCCTCCTTACTCTTTAAAAGCGATCGCCTACGCGTCTGCATCTTATGATGTCTCAAGACGTACTGCTCCTAGAACTCCATGCTTACTTCTCCCTTTTTTCCTTTTTGACATAACCTATAAATATTTAATTTGACGCCATTTTTCGGTTTACATTTCGGTACCTTAGAATGCAAGGTTCTAGGGGCAGTTGCCATGTTAAGCAAAATCCTTATCTGCAATATTTTATATTGTAAATAAAGTCACTTTCACTTAAAAGTGCAGATGCACTTAGAACCTTGTAATTCCGATTTAGCACATTTTCAACATTCTGATTACGCCTCCCTTCATTTTCTTACTCAAAGATTTAAATACTTTATGATAAAAAAAAAATATTCACCTGGTATGGTATTAAAAACAAAAGTAATTCTTGATGAAAAGTTCTGCATGGCCCAAAATCTTAAATGAAATAATTTATTAAAACGACGGGAACAAATCCCAGCAAGCACAAACATCCTCAGGATGTCCTTGGACCAGCCTAAATGTCCCAGAATGGGATGATCCTATAAGGACTTCCTGAGGACGTCCATAGGTTGACCTTATCGGACATTAGATCTTTTGAAGGTCCCATTTTGGGATATCCTAGGAACGTCATTTAAGGATGTCGTTAGGACCTAATAATATCCTAATTAAAGCCTAAAATGGGCTGATCATAGGACTAATCCCAGAGACATCCTCAGAATGTCCCGTTAGGTTTTGGTAAACATTTGGTATGCACATTTTTCTATAAGAATATTTTATCCATATAATTAATAATACCTACATTTTTTTACATCAATATAATTATAATATTATATTATATAGATTTTTTTAAGTTTATACACTATATTTATTCTACGACAATCACAAAAATTAAATAACTTTCAACAATTATATATAAATAATTATTTATAAAATCTGACATCGATCAGTCTATTCTAACCTCACTTTTTAGACCCTTTATTTTGATGGTCATTGTTTCGCAGTTGACAACTGCAATTAACTTCAACCCATGACTAAAAAGTCCGAATGCCATTGCTGCCAACTTCAGCCCGTGACTAAAACGCCATAAAGCCACAACTTGTCAATGTGTATTTAAAATATCATGGAAACATGTACGATAATTGTAGTTTTAAATGCGGGAGTTTAAAAACAATATTATATTTTGTGTATTTGTTATATGACCACAAAATATATTTTGTATACAACTGGATAGCAGCCAACTTAATACGCATGCGCAGAAATGACGGCTGGTAATTAATAATTGTTCAAACACCTTGTTTGTACTGATACATTTAGAGTTTTATAAATAATAAATAAGGTAGTAAGCGTCAGTTAACCTTAAAAATGTAATTACAAACGCTATCTATAACTTATTTAATAGTTTGTGTTACCGATTGTTTTAAATTTGCCGCCATACGTTATGGTGGTAACTATTGTCTATGGTGGTATCACTGGATGGAGAGAAAGCTAAGATGTCGTATAGCCATGATACAAAGTATCATGCCGTATAGCGTCCTTTAGTTGTTTGGGATCTTTTTGTTAGAAAGAATCATAGATAACACTGTGAACGGAATTCTTTGTCTGTGCCGTGAATTCTTATTCTGTGTCGTGAACCTGGTTTAAGGCCGTGAATCTCGTGTGTTTGTTATAATATAATATTATTATAGTGTTGGATATTTCAACAACAATCAGAAAGTTCCAGTGCTTATTAATTGTTTATTTTTAAGTTTAGGGTAGTTATGCAATAATAATTTTTTGTTCCATATTAAGTTGTCTTTTTATTTAATAAAATGTTATTTTTGTAATTACTTCAGAAACCTAATGTTCAATTGTTATTCTGTCTTATATAAGGATATCCATTTTAATCAGAAGAAAAAATGCCAATAATTTGCTAATTTAACTGACTTTGTAGCTGCAATAAGAATGGAGTTAAAATGGTGAGCAGATAACTTTGGACACTGTGTGTAGGTATATAAATAATATAACTATTATATTTATTTAGAAATTTAATCAGAAGAAAAAATGCCAATAATTTGCTAATTTAACTGACTTTGTAGCTGCAATAATAATGGTGAGCAGATAACTTTGGACACTGTGTATACCTATATAAATAATATAACTATTATATTTATTTAGAATTATTATTTATTTTACTTTTATAATAGGTGTTTATTTTTTATTTTATATAATTGGCTGTGTAAAATTATATACATGTATACAGAATTAAAATAATATATTTTATAAAGTAATAAAATGGTATTTGATTGTTTAAAATGTATCCCCAACAAATAACAAGGCCATTCAGAGGATGTCCTCAGGACATCCCATTCCTGGACCTATATGGACCTAGGGATATCCCTAGGATATCCTAAAGGCCATTTGCGGGACGTCTGTAGGCTGGCCTTTTTTGCACCACTCGGCCATGGTTGGGATGTCCTGAGGAGGTCTGAGGACGTCCTAGGATATCCTTGGGATATCCCAATATCCTGTAAGGCTTTCCTTAGGATGTCCTTAGGACAGACTTGTGCTAGCTGGGATGTCACAAATCTCGAAAAAATAATTACTATGCTTTAAGCCTGATTTATAGATTGCCTTCCTTCCTCCCGTAAAAGATAAACAATACGAAAACCATAGTGATGTTCTCGTTTACGGGAGATAGGAAAGAAGAAAGGAAGGCAATCTATAAATCAGGTTTTACTGTCAATTCCTAAAAAAACATTTTACTAGTGTAATTTTACCTATTTCACCTAAATTCTTATTTTTAACAGATATGAATCAAATTTTCAAATTTTACCTTCAAAAACATGCTTTTTTGTAATATTGGGGTTGTCGTATTCGGATGACATAATTCTTATGCACGGTCTAGTTATTTTTGCTGTACAGGGTTGGTAATGTGGGTTGGTTGCGAGTGGTTGGAACTGGGAATCGCGAACAGCGACGCGAATATAAGATCTTAAGTTTTTCCAGTCAATCTCATGTTGTCATGTTTTATTTAAAAATCTCATGTTTTTTTTTACAAAATCCAGCAAATTTGTGCTTTTTTAAGAAAGCATTTTATAAAACATATCTAGAATTCTATCATAATTGATGTGAATTTGTCATTTTTAGCAATTGTAGGTTAAATTCAAATTTTTTAAATCATAAAAATATTGTTGAATAAAATTTTATACAATAATAAATTAAATTATTTTACCACCTAAAAGTTGCCTTCCAGTACTTATTTTCGTAAAGTACGTACTTAATTTAAGAATTATCTTACCTAAAACAAGAAAAAACTATTTTTATAAATTGGGGAACCTAAAATTCCATCTCTGGTTATAATTGAGATCATTTTTACAGATCAAAAGCATCAAAATACATATTAGATACTATAATTTAGCATTAAGTTTTAGGGCAAAATAATGAAATAAACATAAATTAAATAATTTATTTAAGACGAGTAGTTTTTCAGTTTTGCAGCGATAAAACTACTGTTTAAGTGAAAAAAACATACGAGTTGCCAATTAGTTGCTAGGCGAAAAATAATTGTCAATGTTTCTAATTTTGAAAATAAATTTTATGGTGAATGCCACTAATAAAATTTTTAATTTTTACTCAAGATTTTCCTTGGAAATTTCGCTCGTGGTATTAATTTTTAAGACCACGAGCCGCTAGGCGAAAATTTCAAGAAAAAAACATTTTATAAAAATCAAAAATTTTATCGGTAAAATTTTACCACTAGTGGTATATAATATTATGCACTAATAATCATCAAGCTATTGAAGCAAAAAACATAAACATGACTAAAATTATTTATTGAAAAAATTATAGATTATTTTGAAAAT